CTTGGAGAGAGCGGGTGACCAATCCCTGGACGCTCCAGGTGGTGACACTCGGCTACATGATACCACTGACATCTCCACCTCCCCTGTCAGTGTCCACTTAGTTGGGGGAACATCCAGAGGACCCCTGCAAGGCAGAAGCAATCAGACAGGAAGTAGACAGTTTGCTGGAAAAGGGCACCACACACAGGGTAGTTCAGTCGGCATTAAGTCCAGGCTTCTACTCAAATGTATTCGTAGTACCAACATCTACAGGTGGCTGGCCTCCAATTCTGGACTTAAGCAGACTAAATCAGTATGTGCTCCTCGATCGGTTCCGCATGGAGATGCCAAGCAGTGTGCTTCTCTCCATCCACTGGTTCGAGTGGCTAGCCTCACTAGACTTAAGTGATGCTTACCTGCATGCACATACCGATGCACCCAGCGAGTTGCCATCTCCTTTGATTCACCAACCAGGGCCAAGTATTTGAATTTCGGGGGCTCCTCTTTGGGTTATGCACAATTCCCTACGTGTTTACCAGAGTGATGAAACAGGTAGTGCTGCTGCTTCACCAAATGTCGGTACACCTCAATCCATACCTAGACAACTGGTTACTACACAACCCAAACAAGGGGTTATTAGCCAAGCAAGTAAGGCTAACGCAGGATTTACTTCACCAGTTAGACTTTTTAGTAAATCAGACAAAGTCCTGTCCCTACCCAATGCAACAGTTGGTGTTTCTGGGCATGGAGTTCGACACAGAGGTAGGCCTGGATCGTCCATCTCAGGCTCAGTGCCTGGCGCTATGCAGCCTAGCAGAACAACTCGTCAGCGATCTCTCAGTGTCCCTCAGAGAACTAATGCGGGTCATTGGAATGATGACCTCGGTTCGAAAGGTAGTTCCCCAGGTCGCATTACGCAGCCGCCCGGTACAACGCTTGTTGCTAGAACACCGAGCTCACCTACGGGAACTAGACAGGCGAAGGAAGCCATGCCCTGGTGGTCGTCACTGGCCAACCTCAGACAGGGGGTCCCCTCGGACCCACTCGCCGCAGCTATGAATCTGGTAACAGACGCCTCCCTCCAAGAGTAGGGAGTACATCTATTTGACAAACAAGCCCAAGGAATATGGGCCCCTCATTTGGTTCGGGACTGCTGTATCAACTGGCTCGAGCTGAAAGCAGTGCACTAAGCACTACTACACTTTCTACCCTTGCTGCAAGACCACAGTCCTGCTCCACACAGACAACACAGCGGTGGTCTTCTACATCAACAAGGAGGAGGGGACGCATTCCCCATTGTTGTCAGTTCTAGCAGAGCAAAAAATTCTTCTTTGGTGCCTGTAATACAATGTGGAGCTAACCGCACACCACCTTCCAGGGGTGAGGAACAGTCTGGCAGACACCCTTTCAGAACGGGCTCCGTCTTCAGAACACAGAAC